AGGTGCCCGCCACAACGCCTGGCTGTTTTTTGGTTGCAGCCGTCATTGTTTTTTGGCGGGCCTGGGTTGGATTCGAACACACCACCTTAGGTGTATGTGGCTGGCGCCTTAGCCACTTGATCCACAGGCGCCGAGCCTATGCGTAGGATTCTTAATTTTCATTAGCCTTGTGACTTAGGACAGTCAGGAAGATTTCTCTTCTTGTGGTGTGAGACTCCATAGCATCTTATCCTTTCCTGTCTTTGCGCTTACTACACACGACTGTTACAGCCTTACAGGTTCATTACCCACTGCGTAAAAGGAAGACAATACACTGAGACAACAGGGTTTATAGCAGAAGAGTTCAATATCGCAGGTGCCATGCGAGGATGCCTTCCTGAGAATTTGGGGAAAATGGTTTTAAAAGTTAGTTTGGGAGACAGTGCTAAGGTTCTAGAAATTGTTTTCTTGTGCTGATCAGTTCCTGGTTGGGGGGGATGTCACAAGATGAGTTGAATCAGTTATTTGGCATGGACCACTGGTCTGTGTGGGTCAGCTGATCCACTGGAATGCAGGGCCTGGAAGATGTCTCAAAAACTAGCCTTCAGTTTCACAAGGGTGGTGTTATGTATGGGAGCAATGAAGAAAGCTAAGAATCTTTATGACCATCAGCTATACATCTCTTGACTCCTGAAGAGTTAGCAATTACAGGAAAGCAAGCTGGGGAACAGTGGGTGATTACATACTTGCTTCCCTTGCCTTAGTTCTCACCTTGTAGTCCTTCATTAATTTCCTAAAAGGTGGTTTCTTCCCTTCTTGCTTCCTGCAGTGTCACAGCCCTGACCCAGCCCCAAACCATCTCTCTCCAGGACTACCACAAAAGCCCTTCCAGTTTCCTCCCTTGTTCTTCTTCAGCCTAGTCTCAATAGAGCAGCCAAAGTGGCTTTAAATATAAGCTGTATACTATAAAAGTAAGAATTGATCTGTGAGGAGGGGCAAAGTTGATGGCACAAATGTCTGAAAAGAGGGACATTTAAAGTTATATTTGATGAGTTTGGGTTGGCAGAGAAAGCAGGTAAGGGAATCGTACATGTAAAAAGAATGCAAGTGTGATAGAGCGAGGCCCGTGCATTAGAAAGAGTTTTGAGTAATACTAAATATGGTATGTTTGGGATAGAGGTGGAAGATAAAGCTAGTGAGAAATAAGGCAGAATCTGATAATAAAGGGCCTTTGTGCCTTGAGGGTACTTTCCTATATTTATGTATGTATGTATTGAGACAGTCTCACTGTGTCAGCACCTAGTAGAGTGCTATCGCCTCATAACTCACAGCAACCTCAGACTCTTGGGTTTAAGCGATTCTCTTGCCTCAGCCTCCCAAGTAGCTGGGACTATAGCCGCCTGTCACAACAGCCAGCTATTTTTAGAAATAAGGTTTTACTCTAGCTCAGGCTGGTCTTGAACTCATGAGCTCAGGCGATCTGCCTGCCTCGACCTCCCAGAGTGTTAGGATTATAGGTGTGAGCTACTGCACCCAGCCTGAGGGTACTTTCCTAAATGTTATGCTGTGTGGGGATTCTAACCAGAAAAGTAATGTCTTTTTTTTTTTTTTTTGAGGTAAGAATCTCACTCTGGCATCCTGACTAGAGTGCTATGGCATTATAGCTCACAGCAACCTCAGGTTCTTAGACCAAACCAATTTTCTTGCCTCAGTCTTTCTATTTTTTAGTAGTGATGGGGTCTCGCTATTGCTCAGGCTAATCTTGAACTCCTGAGCTCAAGCAATCCACTTGCCTCATAAGCCACCATACCCAGCTGAAAATATTGTCTTTTTTGCATTTTTTTTTTTTAAAGAGATGAGTCTACTGTTTTTTTAAGGCTGGAGTGCAGTGCTTTTAGCTTAGTGCAGTAATCTTAGCTTACTGCAGTCTTGAACTCCTAGGCTGAAGTCACCCTCCTAGTTCCCTGTGGTCAGCTTAGGGTATAGATGGTGTGCATGGCAAATTTTTAAATTTTTTGTGGAGATGGGGTCTCACCGTGTTACCCAAGCTGGTCTTGAACTCTTGGCCTTATTAAGCAATCCTCCTGCCTTAGCCTACCAAAGTGCTAGGATTTACAGATCCTTGGCCTGATTTGGGTTTTGGAAAACTGCTCTGGCAGCGTGGTGAACAATGTACTAGATGGGCGCTGTGCAATTGAATTCTCTGAGCCTCACAACATCCCAGTTATATGTATGTTACTGTTTTCTTTGAACAATAAACAAATGGATTCAGAGAAGTTGATGGATGAAGAAAGTTACAGCATCTAAATGGTGGACCTGAGATCAACTTCCTGCTTTCTAAAATCTGGTCATGTTCTGTTATGAATACTTTCAACTCCAAGTAATAAAATGCTCCTAACTGTGCTCCAAGTAATAAAATGTTCCTAACTGTGCCTTAAATAGTAAAGGCATTTAATTATCATGCATATTAAGAAATTTGGACGTGGGTGATTCCAGGATCATTGGTACTTAGAGGCAGGGCACAAGATGGTCTTCCTGTGTTACTTTTGCCTCTTCTCTTACAGTAATAAGGTAGCTGTTGCTATAGCTCCCGGCATCATGTATTCACAGCAGTGTGTCACTAGCAGGAAGAAAACTAGGCAGGAGAGAGACCTTACTATTATTACCTTGGAGTTACTAATGTCAAGATCACTGACTCTGGAGACAGACTCTTAGGTTTGAATTCAATCTCCTATACTGTGTTACCTTGTGTATGTATATTATGCAACGTTTTGTGTCTTATAAATGGAGCTAATAATAGAACTTTCATAGACTTAAGACAAAAAAAATAGTACTTTGTACATTGATTCACGAGAATTAAATGACTTAATATTTTTGCCTAACATACAGCAATTTCTTTATAGATATTTTTTAAATAAATAGACATCATAAAATCTCCGTACCAGCATAGAAAATCGTCCCCAGTAGTGCCCCAGTAATCTCTTGGCTAGAACTGGGTCATGTGCTCATTCTCAACACTGTCAAAAAGGAATTCGATTAGACTACTCATAGACTTAGTATACCCCAGGGCTGATCTAGGGACCTCATCTCCCTCAGCACATTCCTGCCCACTTGATTGATACCTGAACACAATCTTTTAACAAGATAGAACTAGGGGAATTGCTGTTGGGCAGACCACTATGTCTGTCTTTAGTGTAATTCCTTGTGTATGGCAGAAGGTTGTTATAATGTTAAAGAAGATTCAGCTATCATTTCTGCTAATAAAGGATTTGTTCATTGCCTAATTGGGGTACCTGTTGGTCTCCTGGTTTTGTTGTTTTTTAATTTGGCTTAGTTTCCTTTTGCTTTGAGTTCAGTCATAGTATTCTTTAATTTGCAACATATCTGCCTCTTTTTACCTCCCTGTAAAAGAACAGAAGTGTGTATTTCACTTATTCGTGCTTCATTTTTAATATTTGGGTAGGGGGAGATGAAATTAAAGACTTCAACTACTTTTCTGGGAAGAGAGAAAACTCACTTTAGTGGCTGAAAAATTTCAGTAAGTGGACACTATTTTATGATGTTCCATGGCACTTAATAGATGTATCCAATAATTTAATAAAGCAACCTTTTGAATCTAGTTAGAATATGTGTTTTTTTATATAGCATTATATATAGCGGATTTCACAATGTATTTGGCTTTTAGTTTTTCAGTTTTTCAATTACTAACATAAAACAGTGTAGAAAATTTGAGAGAAGCGGGACAGTATAAAGAAGAAAGCACACAGCAGTAGAGTAGCTTTAAAATTTTTAGAGCTAAATACATAATTCTGATTTGGGTAATTACGATGTGATTCATATTCCAACATTGAACGTATGAATAGAGTTAGGACTCTTGCGTCTATTTTGATGAATTAAATGTAAAGCTTTTTTTTTTTTTTTCCTCTTCTTTTTTGGAGACAGAGTCTCGCTCTGTCGCCTCAGCTAGAGTACATCATAGTTTACTGCAGCCGCTTTAACCTCTTGGGCTCAAGCGGTTCTGCCTCAGCCTTCCAAGTAGCTAAGACTTCAGGCACGTCACCATGCCCGGCTAATTTTTCTATTTTTAATAGAGATGTGGTCTCACTCTTGCTTAGGGTAGTCTCAAACTCCTGAGCTCGAAGGATCCTCCCACCTACGCCTCACAGCGTGCTACGATTACAGGTGTGAGCTACTGCATCTGGCCTAATGTGTGCTTTTATTGTTGGTACCATCTAAAGCACCATAGCTTACTTTACACATCACATTTGCATATAGTTCAGAATGATAGTTCAGAATGATTTCACAAGTGTTAAAATTTATACTAACATGGCTTGTCAATTTCTCTCTGAAGCATCATATTCTCGAAAAGATAAAGACCAAAAGAAGCAGCAGGCCATGTGGAGGGTGCCCTCTGACTTAAAGATGCTGAAAAGACTCAAAACTCAAATGGCTGAAGTTCGATGTATGAAAACTGATGTAAAGAATACACTTTCAGAAATAAAAAGCAGCAATGCCGCTTCTGGAGACATCCAGACAAACCTTTTTTCTGCTGACCAGGCAGCTCTGGCTGCATGTGGAGCCGAAAATTCTGGCAGAGTACAAGATTTGGGAATGGAAATCCTGGCAAAGTCATCAGTCTCCAGTTGTTACATACGAAACTGTAAGTGGTAAATTTCCTTTTAGTGTCGTTTCTCCATATGTTATTTGAGAAGCTGAAACCTTTTTTTCAGGAAAATAATATTTAAATATCTCTTCAGTGAATTAAGACTAGAAATATGTACAGCCTTTTTTTCCCATCTTAAATTGATGTCATATATTTTTTATTATATAATGGTGCTAACATTGTTCGATTGCTTACTCCATACTCAGCAGTAAATAAGACAAAATTCTTCATGAATCTTGCTTTGTAGTGATGAGAATCAGACATTAAAATGTGTAAACAAGTAAAGATAATTTCAATTGGTTAAAAATGCTGTGAAGAAAACAGCAGAGGAGTAGGATTGGGAGGAGTAGATGAGAACTGTGTGACTCCAGTTGGGGTTGTCAGAGTCTGAGGAGGCAACATTTGAACTGGGACTTAAAGGTAGATCTGCCATTTGAGATCCAGAGGAAGCAATGTTTGGGGTAAACAGAACAGAAAATTCCAAGTCACCAATTGGTTTTGCTTTGTGTGTTTGAAGGATTGAAGGCAGAGCAGTATGATTGAATATGACGACCTAAACAGAGAGGGAAGAATAGCAAGAGAGGAAGCCAGAGCGGTAGGCAGGATTTAGATGAGGTAGGGTCTTCTAAAACCTCAATTGGGACTTTGAGTTTTATTCTTATTTTAGGAGAACATCTACAGAATAAAAATCAGAGGCGTGTTTATAATATTTACTCTTTACAAAGATGACTTTGTTGTTTGAAGAAGGGTCTGAAAAGAGAGCAGGAGTTGTGAGGCCATTAACAGCTTAGTACAGTAACTTGTGTGAAATACAGTGGCATTTTCTGAAGTTTTAACAGTGGGAAGATGGCCTGGCTTATAAGCTAGCAGCCTTTCTTGATGGAGGTTTCCATCTTTCTTAGTTCTCCTGAAAATGATACAATACTAGTACTATTCTAGATGCATAAGAAAGAGTTAATCAATTGATTTGCAGAGGTAAGTGTTAACATCAAAGTTGGGTGGCCCTTTTGATAACCGTTCCCATGGAGTAGAGTGGTGAAGAGTGAATGAGGTAAGAAATTGGAGCACAGGCTCGGCGCCCCTAGCTCAACTGGCTAAGGCGCCAGCCACGTACACCTAAGGTGGCGGGTTCAAATCCCCAGCCCGGACCGCCAAACAACAATGACGGCTGCAACCAAAAAATAGCCGGGCGCTGTGGCGGGCGCCTGTGGTCCCAGCTACTTGGGAGGCGGAGGCAGGAGACTCGCTTGAGCCCAGGAGTTGGAGGTTGCTGTGAGCTGTAATGCCATGGCACTTTACCCAGGGTGACAGCTTGAGGCTCTGTCTCAAAAAAGAAAAAAGAAATTGGAGCACAAATGCACAACTTCTTGAAGAAGTTTCACAGTGAAGTGGGTAGAAGTCAAGTTTGTGTGTGGGAGAGTTCCTTTTATTAAGCATATATACTTTTTAAAATAATTTTTTATTGGTATAAAATATACAAAATATGAAATTTTAACCTTTTTTTTGAGGAAGGTTCTACATTTTTTAACTTGTGATGAAATGTATGTAAGAAAATTTACCATTTTCATATGTACAGTTCAGTGACATTAGGTACATTCACATTGTATATTAACATAGGAGTACAATATCAGTTTGAGTTTCTTCTTTCAATTTTGGATATATACCCAGAGTATA